TTATTTAACATGCAGGTAAAGACCTCAGGAGGCTCACTCATCTAACACAGCCACGGCGGAAAATGAGATGTGAGATATAAACCATAATCTATCAGCCAAGCTGATTCTGACAGGTAGCTGTTGGAGTAAAGACGACTCTACCTGGCAGTAGGCCTCCAGCATCTTAAGCTGTCAGTCCCCCGTCAAAGGGAAAGTTTTGATTGGAACAGTTCTAAGGCGATGTACCCAGTCTCCTGATTTCCTTGTTTAGAACCAAGGGGCCTGACTCACTTTTCCATGGCGAAATTATTTGTCTTGGCTTTCGATTGATTTAACGTACCGTCAAATTGTGAAAAAAAAAAAATCAAAATTCTTTTTGTTCATTTTTCAAACCGAAAATGTTATATGAAACATTTTATTCATTTTTCACTCCTGATAAGCCTTTCCACACTAGCCAGCGGTGATTTACACCGGTGTTTGAGTAACAATGATTATCTCCTCTACATCCAAGAGATCTATATCCACTACTGACGATAACCCATCTACATTTTTTTATGTGCTAGCGTTTATTGGAGTGTTTATGACCCTAATTCACTGACATACTAGCAATGTCGGTGATGATAATAACTCAAATATAATTTAGTTACATAAATATCATTACTTCATTTAGAAGGATTCTTTGATTTTGACTAGTATTTATATTTATGTTTTATTCCCTGAAGTAACTTAACATTGATAAACATGATAATATTGTGTTGAATTACATAATTACTCCTTTAAACTTGAATCCAACAAAGACAGTGCATATATTTGATTGTTCTAGCCATCATACATCTTGTTTCTCGATGGTAGGCATTACCTCTGACCGGACCACTCTCTCCTCCGTCCACCAAGAAGCAAATAATTAAAAAGTGCCTTCGATCACAAAAAATCTTCACGGCTGCCTTTCAAAAGTATCTTCGCAACATGTCTTTTGATTGACTCCACCAGATTACCTCCAACACCAACTGAAACCTCTGCTTCTTGCCAGACCAACGTGCACCAGTGTTCGGAGAACAATTAGCTCTTTTTCTTTTACTTCTCTTTGATAATCGCTTACATTGTAAAAGTCAGAGAAAGAATCAGAAATCTACAAGAAACGAAGGAGGTGATCTTCGAATCCATGAGGATCTAAAATAGAGGTTCCTTGGATCGACTAAGAGAGAAGAGACCAAACCGTCTCCTCCTACACTTCTGCCCTATTTAAATAAGAAAAGAAACAGTTTTTGATATCAGAATTCGCTAACAACAAAAGCTAAAAGAAATGATCTACAATAAAAGAACAAAGTTAAAACGAGATAACGAAAAATAAACAATGTTGATTATTATGACATCCCAACCTGTTGACCGATACTGCAAGAAAGCAGAGATCTAAGGTGACAATGCCTCTACAAAAAGAGGGTCGAATTCCTAAACTAGATGGGTCTCAGTCTAGGGCTGGACCCCCTAACAACCTCTAGGAGCGATGCTTCAACAAGGAGGCCATTTCCCTACGGCTGCACAAGAAGCATATGAATCACAACTTAAAGCAGCTCGTGTCTAAGGCGACGGAGGTGTGGTACCCGTGGAGGGCTGTGTATACCAGAGTAGCTCTCCTCTGGGAAGATCTTGTACCTTTGGAACAAGTATAAGATAATTTTTAAGTAGGCCTTTGCCACTCGAATATACTATCTTCGTCATTCTTAGATTCATGGATATGCAAATGAAGCTACCTTTACATTCCGAAATGGACCACCCTGAAAGTTTATTTATTCTCAAGCAAAAGTCAAAGACATGATTGACTTGGTGGACACTCATTGTGGCGTAGAGAAACAAAGCAAGAAATTATATTTTCAATCTAGAAGGATTTAATATCTTTAATCAAAGAAACATGTCCTGGTACTCTTTAAATAGGCCAAATTAGTTTATATCTCTTAAATAAAATTTATCATAGGAAACTTGCTAATAATTAAAATAATCTTGATAAGAGTCAATAGATGCCCATCATAAATAAATAAATCATGTTTCAGCCCAACATCTAACCAAGTTAGACTCATTCTCATTTTACCAATTATGGCCTCTGATATTGCTTTCTTGAACATCTTCCATTACCTGGGAAAATGTTCTATCTCACATTGATTCCATTAGGTAGTCAAAGGAATTTAATGTGCATTAATTTTGTGTCTTCCTTATTATTCCATTTGGTATCTTAAATGAGATTTTGGGAGTGAGCATTTCATTAGCTTTGTTTGTGGATCATTGGCTCTCATGGATCTAGGTTGATTGATCCCTTGAGTGAAATAGGTGAAATTTTATTGAGAGACTTCTAAACTACCAGTAATTACTAAAACATTTTTAAGAATCATAATATGTCCAAAAGATACGAATTCGTTTACATGGTTAAAACTTCATTGGGTTATAATTCACGACACATTTCCCAAATCTTACATTCTAGGGCAACTAACATGGAGAATCCAAACTCTATCTCTACGTTTACTATTTGTACTGTTAACTCTATCCAAAGGTTGAGATTGAATATGATGTGTATTAATTTATATTTAAAAATATATGAGCTATGTTTTAGGTTATCATCATATTTGATAATTCACCAAGGTATTGATGTACTTAGTTTTGATAATTTCAAGTGAAAATTTATTGATATATAATTATTAAATATTAAGAGTTATCTATATATGTCATAAATATGTCTTAAGTATTTAACACATCCAACATAGTTATTATATGAAATATATTTATTTATTTTACGATCTTATCACTAAAAATTTAATACAAGATTTAGTCTTTGATACTAAATGATTCTTCACATTCTGAAAATTTGATCAACGAAGAATATTTGCTTAAGAATCATTTTCAAATAAAAAATAAATATATGATTAAATGGATATAAGCAAATAATGTGAACTATCCTATTTTTTATTATATATTTCTATAACTATATTATGAAATGTTTAGCATTTCAAAATGATAATAGGCAAGTTCTCTAAGATCTTAAATGGATTAAACTATTAAGAAAGTAAGAAACTTAAAAATATATTCAAATTTCGAAGAGAGCAGCTCAATAGTAACATATTAATTACTTCTGTTGGCAAAAGATCATAGTAAACTTGGTGATTTTAACCTGAACTAAAATCCAATTGTTCTTCTTCAAGTTAAAAAACTCCAATTCAAATTTGAACAAAAAATAACGTAAGAATAAGTAAATTCAAATATTAGAACATTCAAAGGTCATTATCACACGTTCTGAAAAATGACAAGTTTCTAAATGAGGTTCTCAAATAGTGGAGTTCTGGTAAAATTAGAAAAAATTCAAAGACAAAAATTCACTTATAAGAGAAGGTTTTTGCATCAAAAAATGTTAAACACACATATTCAAGCTAGAAGATTAAGCTCTTTTGAACATATGCATAAATGATGTACAGGAACATAGTATCATCATCTTCTCAAGCTAATTTCAGTAAAACAATCAACTCCATCACCATAGTTATTATTATCCATAAGGCCCTAAAGAAATTAAGTGGTGAGAGGAGAGTAATTTGGGTGAAGGCATAAGGTCCTAGTAGGCAAATTGTCTCTGAAGAGACAAATTTGAGGTATTTGGGAAGCTGATACCATGAAAATAAGTGTGTGATTCATGAAAAGTTAATAAATAATAGAGAAAGGTTTTCTCTAGGATTGGAAGTGGACAGATGAGGAGTGAACCAATATAAAATCTTAGTATTTTTTTTAAGTGAGATGAGAGGTATTATCACAATACGTGTGCAGAAACATTGTAACACATACATATAGGTCCAACCTAAATCAAAAAATAGGTAGAAATCCTATAAACCCCAATTCACTCTCCCGCATTGTTTCATCTAATTTTATAGTTCCAATAGGCAAAACTTTTTACTGAAACTTAAATAGGTAGATGTGTTTGTGTTAGGCATTCTCCTTTTACTTTTCCTATAAGAGAAGATGATCATTTCGGAGGTTATGAGCACAATGCCCTTGAAGAGCAAATTTCTTGTATGAGTTGTGGAGGAAAAGATATCACCAAGAAATAGAAAGATTACCAAGAGAATGCGAGGGAGGGAGGGAGAGACAGGTTTTCTAAGGGCAAGAGTGAACAGGTCTACAATGGCATTAAAACTGCTCCATCCCATAACTTCATGAAGGTTGAATCAGACCCATAGACTCTGTTAACATATAGACCAAACATAGGAGACATTGGTTGAGTAGCATGTTATTTCAATGAATATGTATATATATGTTTCTAATATATATGTGTATAGATATATATATATATAGATAGATAGATAGATAGAGAGAGAGAGAGAGAGAGAGAGAGAGAGAGAGAGAGAGAGAGAGAGAGAGAACGAAAGAGATAAGGAGAGATGGAGGGAGAGTGGGAGGATATTTAAGCTATCATTTAGAAAGTCCCCGAGGCCCACAAGGGACACATTTGGTAAAGGAAGTCCTTCTGAAACCATTCAATGCTTGATCTGACCAAAAACTTCAATGACAATAATTCATCAATCCTATCTGGCTCTGCTAATTTGCTCTCCAAGTTATATATAGGCAGTGGTAGTTGTTACATCATCAACTCCACCCTTGCTGCGAAATATCAATAGGATTTGGTAGCCTTCTCTAATCCTTCGCACCAACCCTTGCCAAAATAGTATGAGAAAGAGAAGGCTTCAGTGGTCACCAACTGGTAGACACGAGGGCGGGTGCATTATCTTATATCATGCGATCCTATGATTAGTTTATATCAGTAGATGAGGGAGAGAATCCAACAAAATTGGTTATGGTTCTCCCTTTTCATTCACATGCGGACACAGCGTGGGTTGCCACTGTGTCTCGATAATGCCGAGGTGATGATGAGTAACAAAGAATGGAAAAAAAATAAGAGAGAAATTATCCATGGAAGGAGATCTATTAGAACTCTATACTGTATCCTCGGCAGTTCTTGAATCTGACCTGCAGGCTATAGTTTCCGTTCTTCATCTCTCTATTCTTCTTTGCTGTACAGTGGCTATGGGGGTAGAGCCAGAAACCCCCAAGGCCAAATGTCGAACATTTATCGCCCGATCGATCGGAGGTTGCCCAGCACAACAGACTGGGCAACGGACCAGCCCATTCTCGTTGCACTCGGGGCACCGCCGGAACCCGCTGTATTCCGTCGCGTCCTCCTCCTCCACGTAGACCTTACAGCTGCCAGAGCAGCCCTCGCAGGGGACGAACCTGACGCCGCCGCAGCCATGGCAGGAGTCGTCCTTCCCCCTCACCACCTCCTCGCAGCCCTCCAACGCCTCCCCTAGCTCTCCCGCATCGTGCAGCTGCCGGATCTCTTCTACCCCTCCCAGGTACCTGCCGTTAGCGAACACCCTCGGTAGCTTGCAGCCGCCGCAGCGGGGCCCGAGGAGGGAGACGAGCTCCTCCTTGAAACCGCCGTGCATCGACACGTCCCTCTCGTCGACGCGGACGGCGTAGCCTCGGAGGATCACCCTTACGACGCAGCAGTCCTCGAAGGTCCTCCGCACCCCGCGAAGGCTGGTAAAGTAGAAGACCACCTTACCCTCCCCCCCAGCTGGGAGCTTGGGCTTGACGGCGGCGCGAACCTTCTTGGCGTTTATTTTCTCCTGGAAGGCAATGATCCTGGATCTGACGGTGCCAGTCAGATCCAAGCTCTTTCTGGGGTCCTCTGTTCTCTGATTCTCTCCCGAGGTGAGATCAGAGGTCTTCTCCATGGCCTCCCTGAAGGACGAAATGGCCTCAGGGTCGAATTCTGTGATGATAGAGTCTCCGCCGCCGTCGATGTCCATCTTCATCCACATCGGCTCCGGCGAGATGGACCCATTGAAAAGCTTTTTCGTTTGCACCTTCAATTTTACGTCTCTACGGGCGTCCTGGAGGGAATGGAATGAGAAAGATCGCTCCACTGGGGGGCCACCGGTGGCGGAAAACTGATAGAGCGGGCTGGCGTTCTCCAATCCGGACATCATCTCCCATGCGTCGATAATTTCCGGATCCCTGCGTGGTGTCTCGGTGGGTGTCCTCGGCGGAGGAACCCTTTCCTTGATCGTCTCCGACCGTCCCTTGGCCTTCAGCTCCTCCGCCAAGAAATCACCAGATTTCCTGTCTCTCAGCGTCTTCTTCATCGGATCATTTCCCTCGTCGTCATCGCTGCAGAACCGGCATCCCCAGTGGTGGCGATCATGGTCGACCGGGTCGAGGCGGAGGGACCCGAGAGTGGTGGACATGAGGGAGACGACGTGGCAGCTGTCACGCTTCCAGAGGGCCGCGTGGTGCACCGGCATGGTGTGGCATCGGACCAGAGGCACCGGGCTCCGCCAGTGGCCTTGCCGCTCTTGCTTGGACCCTGTACAGCCCATGGCGGAGATGGAGCGAATTCCACGGGAGAAGAATAGCTGTACCTGTATCTCCGCGATCTGAGAACCAGGGAAGCCGACCCTCCCTCTCCTCGCTTGGAGGGGGAGAACAAGGGCAGTAGGGGGGGATCGGAGGAGAAGATGGATGAGGGAGGTGGATCGGGGGCAGGTGGGAATCAGGAATTGATGGGATATGAGACCACAAAGATTGGGGAAATTCAATCCGGGGCCGGCAGAGATCCGGCTGAAAGCGTCGTGACTGTGTCTCTATCTACCTGAACTACGCGTTCAGGAGGGGAAGAAGAAAAATATATATATTTACGGGGAGAAGATAGAACAAAATCAAAAACAACGGCAGCAAGAGAGGACCGACTGTGCCCACGCGGCGTCGGTCAAACATTTTCCAGACGAAGAGGATGTTTACCGGCTCCGCGTCCATCCTATCTCTATCTACGCATTCTGCTCCTTTATTGTCAACCTCTACTTTCTCCCTCTAACAGAGTTTTAACTGCTTCACCGGCTCGCTGGTGAGGCAGGTAGGAAGCCAGAAGAAAAGAGACCGGCAGAAGAGGAGAGGCAATTAAGTGCGGCCAGGGGGAAACGAAGCAAACTGTGGGCGGGGGGGGGAGGGGGAAGAGAGAGAGAAGAGCGACGTTAGAGGTATGGAGAGAAGCGGTCCAGATGGGGATCTCGGTAGACTGAGGTCAAGTCCCGGCGGTTGGAGTGGTCAGAGGAGATAGAGCGCGAGTAAACGAAAACTGTTTTACACTAACATTCCAACTCGGGGCTACTGATGAATTCAATGACCGTAGACGTTACCCTGGGTGTGGGCGATTAATGAGAAGATTTTAATGCCCTCTCTCTCCGGTCACATCTCCCGTCACTCCGGTCACCACCATCCAGAAAAAAAAATTACTTTTTTTTGGTTGACCTACAAGGTCAACGGTTCGGGCAAGACTTGAGCGTGGAAGGCCCAGTGCTCAAGGATTCGGTGAGTCAACGGTAGAGTCCCGTACCAGGCAAGAAGCTCCATGCTGGGAAAAGGGTATCTCTGAAGATCTGAGTGGGGAGGTGAGAGCCCTGCTCTGAGGGCTTAGAAGAAGGTGCAGGGGCGGTCCTAGGGCACGACGACGACAATGAGCTCGTAAAATCAGCTTCCTCCATGCAGGACACAGAACACAAAATGCCGGCGACACCGTCGACGAAGAGCCAACGGGAAGATTCGAAACGAGGACATGAAATAAGAAAAAGAAGAAAGCTAGACGAGGTCTCAAGCAGCGGAGACCTCCATCTGCAGAACATTGATGAGTTATGTCGAAATATCTCAGCAATCTGGTTGAGAATAGGCGTAATAACATACAAGTGTGGCCTCCTGTATCGGGACTAAGTTTTAGCTCATATAAAAGGGCAAATCTGTAACTCTCTAATCTGTAGAGAGAGGATTAAAGAAAGGCTATAAATTCTTTTTTCTAAGAACTAAATAACTTATGAGGTCTTACTATTCTTTATCTTTTATGGTGTTCACTCTTTATCTATCAACCTCTATCATTTTTACTTTTCTTATTGGTGTCTTGTTTGATTATTTTCAAGTTCTAGCACACTGGTGGAATAGGGTAGTGACGTGACTTAATTGTTGTATAGTAAATCACATAAATTTAAAATTTATAAAATTAGTAAATATAAATTTTTAGATATTTAGAAGTATTTTTAAACAAATATATCAATTATAATTCAATAAAATTTCTAAAAATAGTGATAATTTTTCAAGTCGATCACAAAGACGTAATATAATATAAGATAATTATTCAAAATGTTCTTCAAAGAATACTATTTTCTATTAATTTTATACTAGGAAATGAAAATGAAATATATTTAAAATTTACGAAAAAGAAAAATAAGGGTGTGGATGTCATGATGATGTCAGCACCTGACGAACATGAATTAGGCAGAAACAAAGTTCCATCTGACGATTTTTACATAAATTATGACTAAATGAAGTAAAAATTAAGTTGAAAATAGGAAAACAGAGTTCTAACGTTACAGCAATGATGCGTCGGCGATGCACTAGAATCCTAAGCATTCGAGAAGATCGTCGTGTAGTCTCCATAGCCTCGAAGGCTCTCTTTGACCAAGGCTAGTGGGCAATCTCTAAATCTCCTTGTGAAGTCTAAAGATCAATGAAATGGGTTGTCAAATCATCTCCGGTGGCTGTCACTTGACAGAGCAAAAAGATGACAACTTTGTGGCTCTTTAGCGGCTGTCACCCAATAGAGAAGAACTAGATGGAGATAGGGCGTGTGTCAAAAAGCTTCATCCTCAAGTCCGCGCAGCAAAAGGAGGCTCTTTATTGCATCTGATATGCTCTTAGGAGGTGGTGACTCATCTCTCAGTAGATCGTTCTCTTTCCGATAATAGCTTGTTCGTCGATCAATTAAAGATGGTTTACTTAATAGATTCGTGATCCTTTTATTGTGAATCGTTTAGTAATTTTAGTAATAATGCTCCGAGAATCGCGTTGACGAAATTTTCGTCGATGATCTAATAATTCTAGTAGCTTAATCCTTCACCAACGATCAGAAAAGTCACGATAGTCAGCTAAAAGTATGAGTTTTGGCTCAAGAAGGATTCGAACCCGTGCTAGTTGCCCATCTGCCTAAGAGAGATTGAAATAAATACTCTAATCTCCTTATCAAGTGACATCATCATGGTATATCTCTATTATAAGTAAGGGGTATTATAGGTATTAAAATCATCAAAGCCTTTTGGGGGAAGATGTGATGTGGGTTTAGTCTCACATCACTTGTGCATCAAAGTTTCAGGTGAATATATACTAATATTACATTTACAAGCAAGTCATTTTCTCCTGCATGTACGACCACTCTTTACTTTACAGTTAGCTGGCCACTAGTGACGTAGAAGGAGAGTGGCGCACACGTGCCCCTATTAGTCTTAGTCGCTCGAGCCCTTGCTTACAGCTCCTCCCCGACTACGCTTCTGACCCACTTGTGGGCTCGACTGACTAGTGGGTACCTCTTATTTTGATATATTTTTATTTTTATTTCTTTTTCTTTATTTATCTCAAAGTAAGACTGTAAAAATCATATAAATTTGCATAAAATCACATAATTAGTCAAAAATTCATGTTAATCAACTGAAAACTACTTTTCATACTTTAACATAAATATACATCTATTTATCATGATTTAAGACAAACTATATTATTTACTAATTATTAACTCATGATAATAGAGACTTATCAGGCAGCAACCTAAAACTTGTAGTAGAGACTATTATTAAGCAAAAGAAAAAAAGCAATGAGAGGATGTGGTGACTTTTCTTGAAAATTAAACAACAGATTCTATCCTATATTCAAGGCCAAGACTTTAATGGATAGAAGATTGATTTTTAGGTACTAGATAATTGTAGACAACATGTCTTCTCATTTATGAGAGTTATCTACAATCCACGATTTATTGGACAGTTCTAAGATATAGACTAAATAAGGATCTTTCAAGCCATATTGACTAGATCCTTGTAGTAGATTATTCTTATTTTGAGTACATATCATTTCGCAATATCCTCAAGTTGATTTCAGCCATATACTAATTGAGACATTTATTTCCTATTTTTTATAATATTTTGATTGGTTTTATATCCAACATCTATAATAGAAAAAGGGGAGAGAGACAGAGAGAGATCATAGCTTTGGACTTCCTACTCTACCCATAGTCAAGCATAATGACGACTTTGGCCTGTAGAGTGCCCACCTCTTCTTTGAGATCACCAAGATGCTGTTATTGAAGGGGATGCAGGATAAGAGGGCTTCTGTGGCCGGCAGAACTCACAACGAATGCCGGACGGTCTTCAATCTCTGAGCTACTCCTTTCTTCTTCTAACATGAAGAGGGGGCAGCGAGCTGGGTTCATCTGTCGCCTGAGTGTTCTACCTTCTTCTCATTAGCAGTCAGGCCCTCATTCCAGCCTTCGAAGGAACGTGTAACCATGTCTAGCTCGTCATGTGCAAAATTTTGAATGAATATCTTCGGTTATGCTTGCTGAAGTGTATAGCGAAACAATCCGTTTTCTGGAGAACCTCCCTTTCCTCACGCACCAGAAGACATCAGTCTTGTCGGCGTCGAGGCGAAGAAAGTCGCAGAGGATCGGTCGATGAATACGGGATCCTCGAGGAACGGTTGCGTGCCCATGGAGAACGATACCATTACCGCCATTACCTGGCCCTGCTTGATGCCAATGATAGGCCCCTCCCCCTCTGCCACATTACAGGTCTTGACGGTGAATTCTTGGCGCTGGCCGGAGCTGCTGTAAGAGCAATGATCTCCGACAGGAGATATGGAGTAATCCACCATTATTCTATCATATTCCTCCTTTGAAACGACAGACGTGAACCATTTAAATCTTCCCTTCTTATTGTGGCTGGCTAACCAATGTCTTCCCATAGAGTGTGGGAATCTCATCATGCTCCTCTTGTTGGTGTTGTCCCAAGTGAGCTTGGATCATGTTTTACTGCATGGTGAGGTCACAGAGATTGTCTAGATGTGGTTTATTTAGTTGGGCATTAGTTGGTTCATGGTCTGCAGTTCCCTGATACCCTCCCCTAATGGGAGGTTTTCTTTTTACAAATAGCATTTCAACTAAAGTTGTCCATGAGACTTAGAATATATCCTGAGAAAACTTTCTTTCCAAATCAATATTTTATTGGCTTTAGGAGACTTAATTATCCTTAAAGGTTTTGATGATGATATACACCCATAAGATAAATAAATAGATCAAATTATGTTGAATATTTCATGTGCATGTAACATTCATGGGTGATCTCTTAAACACATTCTAAATTAATTAAATGAAAATTTATGAAGAATATCTACAAAATTTCATGTTTAGATCATAACTCAATGGATACATTCGATGCTCATGATTTAAATTCCACCTTTACAATGAATTTTTGGTTCAAAATCATTAGTTTGTATACTTCTTTAAAAGGTA